CCCGCGCGCCGGAGGTGTTGAGGAGTTAAATCTTGGGAGGGGTGGTTTTGAAGTGGGCTGGCGGGAACTGCCCTGAGGTGATCTGCGCCCGAGTCCTCCTCTGATGGCAGGCCGTCAGTTGTGTGGCGTCGTGGCCGTCCGTGAGGAAAAACCTCTGTCCCGTGGGGGTGGCACAGGCTGGCCAGAGAGGCTGGGGGTTTCTGGAGATACCCAAAACCCACCTGGATGTGATCCTGTGCAACTTGCTGTAGGTGACCCCGCTTTGGCAGGGGGTTGGGCTGGGCCATCTCCAGAGGGCCCTGCCGACCCCCACCAGTCTGAGCTTCCATAATTTCTGTTGGGAGTTCAGTCTGGCTGCGGTAAATGTGTAATAAATGCTGCAGAATTATAGCCTGTGCTGCTGAGATTGTGTAATTAATAGAAACTTTAACGTTAGGTGCTAATAGGGGAAACGTATGTGTTTCCCAGTGTGGCTTGTGGTAACCAGGAGTGGTCTGTATGGGCACCAGCAGGCCTGGCAGCTCTTACGGAACCGCTGACATACCGTGGTCAGCAGGTACCTCAGCATGGCTGGGAGAAGGGCGGCAGGCTTCCTGACACTGTCTTGACTAACTACATCTGTTGCAGGTGCTCTTATATGTTACAAATAAAAGTCACCCGGAGTTTTCTGTCTTTAGAGTTGACATCTGCCTTGAAATAGGATCTGGATCTGGCGTGGTTTCATCATTTCTAGCTGCTTCTGTTATTGGATCCAGTGCGCTGTACCTGTAAGTGTAATAGCACTTAATCTGTTGCATGCAATAACAAAGAATACCTAGCCCTCACATAAATACTTTTAATTTTTACATTTCAAAAACTATTCTTTTCACAAAGAAATATTAGCTCAATTTTACAGATATGGAAATCAAAGCAAAGACAGCCTAAACTATTTACTTCAGGTGCTGTAACAATTAAGTTGTGGTGCGACTTGAATTCCATTTTCCCACTTCTTAGACAAATTGCTAAGCGTGCACTTGTATTTGCTGGGTTGAATCCTACATTGTAGCCACTGACTAGCCTTACTGACGTCTGATAACATTATTTACCTGGGTGTGTACTTGTATTTGCTGGGTTGAATCCTACATTTTAGCCACTGACTAGCCTTACTGATGTCTGAGAACATTAGTTACCTGGGTGTGGGCAGTAACTGAATTTTATTAGAGACTTGTATGTGTATATATTTATGCAAAGCTAGCATTGAAAAGGAAATCCAATACTTCAGCTTTCAGAGAGTCGTTAAAACTTCCAGTGTAGTGCTGAGGGGTTTAGCTGCTGATTGCATGTATTTTACTGGCTGTCTTTTGCTACTTTCAAAGTAAAGGATGCTGGAAAGGATATTTTCATTGAGAATGCATAAATTGGTATGTGGTTCACAGGGTTAAACTTCCAGGTGCAGCAGGCAGTAACTTACGCTTTGTAATATTTTGCTTTTAGATGTACAGATATCAACCCGATGGCAGCTTACTGTACACTGGAGACAGCTCTGCTTAACAGTGTTCAGCTTCAGCCGGTCATTACTGACTTGGTAAGACAGGTTTCAGTAATGTCTTCTTTATAGTTTTTGTAATTTTTAAATACTTATTAGAGATACTGAAAAGTAACTAACTGTGAAGTCTAGAACAAACATTCACTTAATAAACACGGATGAAAAAAAGAAAATGACAAAATGCCAAAGTGTTTCTGAAAGAAGGGAAAAACAAACTACTCAAGCTCTAAAATTCAAATTTAAGCTTTAAAAATTCATCGAATTAATTTAAAAAATTAATCACGTAGACATAGTTTGGAAAATGCTGCACAAGGAACTCTGCAGTGACCTGACGTTGTCACGGCCCTTCCTCAAATGCTCTGCAGTTCTTGGTTCTCAGCTCTTTCTGATTGAATTAGGAACTGTGCATGTTGTTACTTTTTGTTTCTTACAAAATTTGATATGGAGAAAAGCTAAGTTAGCAAGATATTTGTTTAAAATACCCTGAATATATATGTTTATAAAAGATGACCAAGATAGGCAACAATGAATGCGATCTAAAATGGATGAACAACTGCTCATACTTGAGAACTGAACTGCAGTTGTCACAGGTTGGTCATTTTGAGTAACAAACGTTAACCAATGATAAAGCCAAAGTTCTTTTATATCTAACTTAAATTCTGAACTGAGCAAGAATAAAGTACTACCTTTGTGTCCGCATATGTGTGTCTTGCTCTTCTACATCCCATATCGAGATTGTTCTGCTGTGCGCGGCTACTTCTTCTTGATGCTTCTCTTGCACATAGAAAGTAAAGTTTAGTGTTCCCGAGTCAGGCTGAAACGCCCAGAATATCCAGCAGTATGTAACTGTATTTTCACAAAACGTTTGCATTCTTTATGTTTCCAAAAAAAACCAAAAGAATCATCAACTTCATCTCCAGGTCAAAGGACTGTCTCCAAGATTAAATGGGAAGGTTGATCTACTGCTGTTTAATCCACCGTACGTGGTAACGCCTTCTGAAGAGGTAGGAAAAATTTCAAACCCACAACAAAAATGGTATTTCTACTGTCAGAGGAGAGACGGCAAATCAAATAAGCTCTGGTATGAAGACTGCAGGGGTCTTTTGAAATAGTAAAGGATGTTGTAGGACCAGCACTGTTTTAGGGAAAGTGAGTTACTAGAGTTGCTTATAAAGACTACGTGGGAATAAAGATTGCTAGCTACTGCTTCGCAGTACCTGGTTTCTCCATCAAGTAGAAACCACGTAAGGCTTCTGTTAGGCGTGCTGAGGTATTTTTATGGAAGACTTCCAATGGAAAATGCATTTGTTCCCTGCAAAATAAATGTCCTCTGCTTCTGCAGACTCCTGCTGCCCAAATTGGACCTGTGAACGCTTAAAGGGTTTTCTGGCCACCTTCCACTTGGCAAACAAGCTCATAAAACATTGCACAAAAATACATACAAAGCACGTCACAAAACGTAGCTCTTTTAATTCCATTTAAGAATAGAACCTGAAACAGAAGTAGTCTGTTCATTGCGTAGGAAGTAGCCTTGAAGTAGTGTTGCTGCATGAACTAATCTGCTGAATCAAAGTTGTCAGATTTCTCATGGCAGACACCTAAAGCTAGAGATTATGGTGATGTTTCTCCTCTAAGTACCACCGACGCTTCTGTCATCCTGTAATTACAACAATCTTTGCTTTCATTCTTCCTAGGTGGAAGGCCATGGAATAGAGGCATCCTGGGCTGGTGGCAAAAAGGGCAGAGAAGTAATGGATAGAGTTTTTCCACTAGTACCAGACCTACTTTCACCAGGAGGGCTATTTTACTTAGTCACAATTAAAGAAAATAATCCAGGTGATCACTTTCCTTGGACCTTTAAATGTGCCAATCCAGATTTAACACTGTATTAATCAAAATGTTGGTCACAGCAATGTTCTCTAGGTTATCAGACTTTGGTAAACAAGTAGCATGTAACATCAGCTGAATCCAACACAAGGTGATAGCAACTAATTGAAGATGGACAGCGTGTGTTGATAGATGTATAGATGTTCTAGGTTATTATTTAGAAATCCTGTAGGTGGCCGGAGTGTATCTGCTTCATACAAACCATGGCGTCTCTGGGCACTCATGTGCTTCTCAGCTTGCAAGTTTGCATGGGTGTCTAATCTACAGGGGGACTTTTACGTAGGCTGACGCCTCTTAGAATCCTTTTTTGGAATTCATGCCTTGTGCATCCAACATACATGAGCTAGACCAAAAATAGAAGCAAATTTACCAGAACGAGGAACCCCCTAAGCTAGTTTGGAAAATGGTAATATGTAGGTCCTGACCCCAGCAGCTCTGCAAGACTTCAGTTCCAAGTCTGAAAGGTGACTGTAAATCTTCTGAACTACATAATGAAGCCAGGCTGGTCCTTTCTCATGGAAGAGAACGGTGATGTAAATTTAAAAGGCAAAAGCATTCAGCTGGAAATACGATGTCTTTAATTTTGACATGTGTAGAGAAAAGATTTGGACTTGCTCCTTCTGATCTAATGCTTAATGGCTATATGTTATCAGTGTGTTCCAAGAAGCAAGGTTATTCTTTCAAACCTGATTGATTAGGCAGCTTTTGGGAGAAGGTGCTACTAATTGCGGTTTCTCCTACAAATTAGCTTCGTAACTGAACTGTTCATTGCTATTACTAATATCAAAATACAGAACTTTAGCTAGTAAATTGTAAGCTTTATTTGTTCTTGGTGGAAGACTAATTTGCATAAAAATTGCTGTCTGAAAGAGTAAGAGGATGGAGTTTATAATCTTTGCTTTTCAGCTTATGTTTTGTAGATACTTTAGCACTGCCTCTTGTAGCTGATGCCTATATAAACTCAGTTGTAACACTGCACTTTCATTTACAGATGAAATTCTGGAGACGATGAAGAAATGTGGCTTAGAAGGCACACGAGTACTTTCCAGGCAAGCAGGACAAGAGATGCTTACTATCCTCAGGTTTAGGAAGTCTTGATAACTGCTCTTAACCTTCCCGATACGAGGCACGCAGAAGATTCAACACAGAGGACTGAAGGTGTCAAACCAATTTTTGAGCCGATTTTCACCCTCTTAAGATGTATCCTCACTTCCTGAGTCCTGCAGTGGAACTGATCAGGACTTGGTATTTATTTTTCTTCTGGCTGTACAGGAGGTGTTACCTGGTGGCAGCAGTACAGCCCTCCTCTGGCTGTCCGCACAACGGCTTGGGGGGAACAGTGAAATACCCTACCTTGCTGCATTTGCACTTAAGCACTACAGACTTTTTCCTCTATAGGTATTTGTATTGTCAGTGTGGTATATTAAAATAACGTACTTGATATAATTCTCCCTGTTTTAGTAGCTAGTCTGTAAGTATGCTGGGTTTAAATGAATCCTTGGAATCAGCGTTACTCATTTTGGTGTAGTACCGGGCACTTTTACAGGTCTAAGGCACAATTACTGAGTTTGTTTCTGTTGTAAGGAAACAATGTACTTCCAGACAGAAAGATGCAGCTAAGTGTATCTCAAAGGCCAGCTATTACTTTTGTGAAGTCTCTGGGCAATACCATGGTGATTGTAGAACCACAGAATCGTTTAGGTTGGAAAGGACCTTTAAGATCATCAAGTCCAACCGTTAACCCAGCACGGCCAAGCCCACCACTAAACCATGTCTCTCAGCACCACATCTACACGGCTTTTAAACACCTCCAGGGGTGGTGACTCCACCACTTCCCTGGGCAGCCTCTTCCAGTGCTTGACAACCCTTTCGGTGAAGAAATTCTTCCTAATATCCAATCTAAACCTCCCCTGGTGCAACTTGGGGCCATTTCCTCTTGTCCTGTCGCTCGTTACTTGGGAGAAGAGTCCGACCCCCACCTGGCTACACCCTCCTTTCAGGTCGTTGTAGAGAGCGATCAGGTCTCCCCTCAGCCTCCTCCCTTTTATGCCATTTTACAAGGAGGGTGCTACTGTGGAGTACTGTAGAACCGTTCTCATCCATGAACAGGTATTGAGGGGGGAAAAAAAAGCATATGAGAGACTATTAAATAGTTACCGGGTAGCTAAAAACAATGACTGTAAGCAAGTAGGGAAGTGGAACACAAGTCCTCCCTCAAAACCGCTATCCCGACCAGGAAGCTATTTCCAACCACCAGACCCTGCTGAAGAGCTCTCCCCTGCAGCCTCCTCCTGTTGCCCACAGAAGATTCCAGTATGGCGTTGCCACTGGCTCAACAATTTGAGGTATTTTACTGCAAAGGCAGGCAAGAAGTGACTTTTGACTCGCACAGCTCAAACGTCAACTTACACTGGTCTGGCATAGAAGTTGTTACTCATACCGTTCTGACAGAAATAGGGACCGGACTGGATGGTGGGAAGTGTGCAGTGGTGGTGGGTTTCCATCCTAGGGGAACTGGTCTCTAGCTCAGAAGACCACTGAAAAGCAACAGTGCACTTCAACAATTCAACACCTCCCCTTCAGTACCTTCTCTGTCAATTTGTTTTTACACGGAGAAACACAAATGTGAACACAAACACACAGTAGGAGGGCTGAGAGGGAAGACACAGCCACGTTGAGGATGTTACTCAACCTTTATACAACACATTCTAGTACTTGCAACTACTGAATCTAAAACCAAAATGCATTTCATTGACCAAAATGCGGCTCAACTCAGGACTTTGTTGATTCTCACTTTCTGAGTAACTTCAGAGTCTAAGGAATGTCAAAGTCGAGAAACTGAGAGGAAACTTTTTGGCCACCTGTGAAATAACAAGTGTTTCCACAGTTTTCCACTGAAGAATTTAAGGAAAGTTCTGTTCTTCCAGCTTACCAGCTAGTCAGTTCTGAGAAGTCGTATTTCAATTTGACTGCTTCCTGCCTCTAGCGCCTTTCTGAGCTGATGGCAGACCCTTTGCTAAGCCACACTTGGTTTTGGTTTTGTTCAGTTTGCCCTTACAAAACTGTAAGGAGAAAAGGTTTTATGCTTAGTGATTTTGCTTTTATGTAGAATCATGGGGGTTTAGGTTATAATCACAGCCATGGGGCTGTTTGAATGAACCAAAATGCTGTCATCCTTAGAACACTCTAGAAGTTTTATGTTGTTAACCACTTTGGCTAATGCTGAGCAAAAGTCATAATGTCAAAAGATTTTGAGATGTAGTCACAACACATAATAGAATCAAACTACAAGTTTAACAAAGGGAAGTTTTTGTTAATCTGTCTAGCTTTTAACTGAAGAATTAGTTTTAGAAGAGGTAATCAAAGATAAAAAAGGCCATGCAGCTGGCACAGTAAATCACAATGCTCAACAGAATGCAGTTTTAAATTACAAAGGGCAGAATAATGAAAATCAGAACAGAAAGTGTAACAAAACCTAACATGATTTCAACAGAAAACGGTTGCGCTGGACTCTGACAACTGGGTGTTTGGACAAGGAGGTACACACATCCACTTCAGTCCGTCGTGAGTCCCTTCTCCTGGCCCCACTGTGCTGCCGTCTGCCGCAGCTGTCATGGAAGCACTTCTCAAAATGCAATCCAAGTAAGAATACAGATGAGCCCCGTAGGAAGCGATTCCTATTATGCTCCCATCATCCCAGCAAAGACTGGGAACCAGTGACAGGCCAGGTAACAACTTTTTTTTATTTTTTTTTAATTTTGAAATTTGCCATGTCTACACAGAGGTCTGCACGTACGCTTAGCATTGCCAGGGCACGCCTATTCCCTTCTCCTAGCACACCAAAGAACATGACATTTTCTGGAGAGTTTTGGGAGGTGTATTCCTGCACTCAGTGCACATGAGAAGAAGCTGGGTGGCAGACACAGACTTTCTATGCAGGGTCAAACTTAGCAAGAAAAAAGCAAAAAATCCTGCCCCCCCAGACACCGAGGCATTGCTCTGTCAGCAAGCGCCAGGGTCAAAACACTTACTGCTGCTTTGCAAGTGCCTGCGCTGCTTCTTGCCGGACCAAGACAAAAGCTCTCCGCAAGGCTGCTCCTGCAGACAATTTGCAAGTTAGGGCCTGCTAGAAGAGTTTAAGATGGCTCTTTTCTAGCAATACCTGGTTAACCACAACTGGCCCTCAAATCAGTTATCGAACTACGAAGAAGTCATTTACAATAACCAAAGTGACGCAATGGAGACAATCCTGGAGTATCAGTAGATATGAAACAATACAGCTTGCTCCTTAATCTATGTTTTCAGTTAGAGCTTTTCAATACCAGTTTTAAATCCTTCCCATTATCTCTTTCGCAAAAAATGTCAAGAAATTTCTCCTCTGAAAGCCCAGTGTTACCTGTTAAAAATACAGACTTAAGTTATCAATAGCTAAAACTCATTTTTAGAGCTGTCACCTCAAAAAGGGACCAACTTTGAGAAAACATACAGAATTAAAAAAACAGCTGTTGAGGTACAGCCAATTGAGTACGCACCTCAAACTCGGCACCTGAAAGTTTAGACTATTAATTTCTGAAAGTTTATCACAGAGAAGAAGAGACAGCAATCCAGAGACTACGGAGGTTGGCAAAACTCATTTATTCCCCCCCTTTTATTGACTTTTCAAAGAAATCCACTGCAAATACCATCCAAGTTAGAATATATTGGTATGCTACTGCTGTTAAAAAAAGGCATGAAAAAAAAATGTATAGTTGAAGTCAATATTAAATTCTGATACTAGTCCTTATTATTATGGGACAGTGTATCCAGTGTACGTTCAGTGACAGTTAATTTGCCAGATAATGAAGACATTAAGTGAAATAATGAATACGAGAACTGATCAGTGTGTACGCCTTCTCTTTAAAAGCCTACTGGCAATAAATAGGTAGTGTTTTTCACAGCCAGGCAGGAATGATTGGACTCTCTCCACTTACTTGGGCTTCCAAGTGTTCATGTTTTTAGGGTGCTGAGCGGCTGAGGGCTTTTGGGAAAACAAGACTGTTACAGGTGAAAGCTCAGTTTATAAAGATGTTAATTAAGAGCATGCTATGTTTAAATTTTATGCTTTAACAGAAGGTTAGCACCCTAGTTCCAAGCCTTAATGTCTAACAGCAACAACATTCTTTTTTCTCCCATAAGAGGAACTATGATGAACGCACTAATCAAAAATCACGTCTTTATACCACTTAAGTTAAATTCACCTGTTATATTAAAAGGCCTGATTTGGGTTAAGTGCATAACACTATGTTAGGATATACCTAAAGTAAGAGGTTTTAATCAGCTATGCTGTGGCTTAAACACCACTTTTCAGACATAAATCTGCATTATTTCTGAATTTTTAATACATCTCAGTATCTTAAAAATATACAAATTAAAATAAATTATTCTTATATATTTCTTTATATCAAAGAAGTATCTTCAAACTTACAAAAAACAGTCCAGAGGTAAACATGTGTCATATCCCACTAGTCAAGAACTTAAAGTAACTGACATTCTTTCCAACTAGTTAGCTTCTTTCAACATACAGTTTATTGCCTCCTCTTCACTTATTACTTAGCTCCCAGAAAGAAGACAAACCGTTTTATTTCAGAAAAATGTCTCTCGACAGAGTGGACAGGTGGATTTGTTGCTGGATGTGAACCATTTGTACTGAAAGAGAAATACACCTGTTTAGTATACGAATGCAAGCGGCAGTATCAGGAACGCTGGTTTATCACCAATAATAAACATCATTTGCCAATGACTATAACTATCAAAACATTAAATGAACTTTAAAAAAAAAAAACAAGAAACAGTAAAAAAAACCCTTTCCACTTGTGTATATATACACATATGTATTTGTATATGTACATACACACATTGCACACACACACACAATACTGAAGTTTTATTCTAAAAAACCTGACACAAAGGAATTCTCATCCAGTCTCCTTTTAGACTACAAAGCTAGCGTTTTTAAAGCAGAAGCAACTCCTCCGGCGTATGGCCGTACAGATGCCAACCTGTTCCAGTACACTCTGGAACTGTACAACTAACACCTAGGAGGACTTGGATATAGTTAAACGTTAATTATGCAGACCAGCACGGGTTTACTAAAGAGCATGCTGCAGAAATTAAAGTTAACTTTTTCTGTTCCCATACCTGGGCTGGTAACAACACGATGCTGTTGCTACACCCTACGTAGATGTAACAGCTTTTGTCATAGTGAAGGTGAAACGGACAGTTGTCATCTGCCAAGTGTAGCACTCCCTCTCTCATTCCATGCCCTTACAGCTTAGTACAGAACCCAAACAAATAACTTGCGAGTTCAATTAATCCCAGATATTCCAATGGCATAATGGAGAAGTGATGGTATTACAATAGAAGTTCCTGGTTCAAACTATAAATGGATAAACTATTTTTTATATATATCATACATATAAACTATTTAAAAAGATTTAGCCTAGGTACTTACCAAGCAAGCTGAATGAAACTTTTTCTTGCATGTTCTGCAAGCTTTTTTGGGAAGAGAGTAGTTGGAACCATGAATGACTGAAAAACAGATCATGCAATCTTCTACGCCCTCAAAACGTTTATCCACGTTATTTTTCCACAAAGATAAGCCTTCCATAATACTTCCATTCTAACAGAGGGAAAAGAGAGTTAATACTGTAGAACCCCTTCAGAATATTCTTACTGTTATTCCTAAGTGCATGAAGGAAACAAAGCCTGAAGGCTTTCTAATCTGAAATTATATGCAATATATGCAGTGAATAATTTATAAAGCCAACACATGAAATAAAGGTGGTAAGTCTAATCGATAGAAATGCACGCATTCATCACAATGAAAAGAATGCACTTCGGAGGACTTAAAAGGGGATTTAAATTTTTTCAGTCACTGTTTTGTTTTGTTCCAACCACTGATGCTGCAACTTCAGCAACTGCCAATCTTTTAGAGAACTTCATGTACTGGATTTTTGGGTTTGGGTTTTTTTTGTTGTTGTTTGTTTGTTTTTCCAAGTTATAGTTGAGATGGCATTGCCACACAGGGCAAACACTGGCCCATGCCTTAAGAGATCCAAATTTTCAACTTTGGCTATGGATTTAACAGGACTTATTAGGCCAATAATTTTACCTCTGTTTCAGCATCTGGAGAAACGCAGATGGTAGGAATGACCAATTCCATAAAGTCCCTTGAGATCGACTGATGAGATCCATTATACAGATCTGAATAACACTGCATTGCTAGCAATATTGTTCTATTGTCAGGACTCTTCAAAACTGGGGGCTTTCTCTAAACTCACCTGATGTGTAAGATACGTGCTTAACTGTAGCATCCAGTTGCGCCACTGCTGTACAGCCACACCAACTCTCTTTCCGCTCTCAACTGCTATGGATCCCAGTGGGTAATTTGATGGAAGCTGTATTATTAGCTCAATAAATATATCATCAACTGAATAGGTAGCAATGACCTCCCGTGCTGCAGACCGAGCTTTTACCTATGAAAAAAAATGCACATATTAAAAAACTCCACAGAGAGATATGCACCATCTCTGGTCTTTTTTTATATATATAGAAACCAAAAATACTTTATTACTACACACATTAAATAATTTTCTTAGACCAAGAAAACACTGTTCTCAAAGAAAATAAAAAACCTACTCATATCTTGGCAAAACAAAAAGAAATTACCAGCCATTCTTCAATCTACTGATCGCTTACATTTTTTAATAAATCAAAAAGAAGTATATTGATAGCAGTGTCTTCCACTTACCTTCTCAACTTCTCCAACATCACAAAAGCCATTCTTTTCTTTTTTCCCAAACAGAATATGAAAAAACATCAACTTAATGTATCGATACCAAGCTAAATTATGTTTTCATCGGTCATTTAGAACAAGAAAAATGCCATCATATAAAACACTGTAATACAGTCTGGTTCTGAGAAGTAACATTTCTTAAAATGTTTGCAAAAAACTAAAGTAAATCAAAAAAAGGACAGGAATTCTTACTAACCGTCATGCCATTAAATAACTGTGTGCTAGTCTGAACAGAAGATATTTCCTGTGAAGAAAGCACGCTGCTGACATACTTGCTTGTAAATTTATCTACAACACTGAAGACGCGTTTCTCACAGCTGTTCCACCACAGCCTGACCATGGCTGGCAAGTCTTGCAGCGTGATTCGGTAGACAGAGCAGGCCAAGTGCGGAATCTGGGCTGAGAGGACGCCCGTCCCTGGGAGGGAAAGAAAGGATGCTGAAATGCTTCAACACGAGTCACAGATGTTGGCTCCTCCACACCGTGTACAAAAATTTTGGTACCAACATAACTGTGGTAGCCAGAATTTCCGGTACGTGCTCCTTCTGTGTTTGCTGCTCTACGTGCTTGTTTGACTCTGCCTTTCCCCGTCAGTCTGGTCTCTTTGTTTCTTAGGCAAACACTTCACAACTGGAAATTCATCTTCTCATTTAGAGATACACTGTAGGCATACTACCAGAAATCAAGAGTAATTTTATATTCTAGAAATTACAAAATGCTCACTTTGGAGCAAGCAAACAGTAAGATGTTCAGAGCACGTTTGAGGTTTGCAGTGTCCTATAGAAGGGCACGAAGAGATAAGGGAAATCTTTCTCTTGGGATGTCATATTAGTAATTCTTTCTCACTGTCATCCACATAAATTGTTCTGCAACATACAGTGATCTTCAAGCAAAAAATTAAGAAATGGAAACTCAGTATCTTTGCTTACATCTGTACAGGTACATAAAATAACAATTTCAATGAAGTAACTTTAAAAACAAATTCTCTTTTTCATGTTTCTCAGCTGAAAAAAACCACACCCGTGTATCTTCTCTCATCATATAACTGGTGTTCTGAACAGCATGACCAAAACAACGCACAATTTAACATCTCAAACATTTCAAACAATACATATAAAAATATATTTTTGTTTTTATTTATGTATTGAAATAGAAGGAAAAAAAATGGAAATTCCATTTAGCATATAAAAAATATCTAGAAGGAACGGAGACGTCCCACAATAGATGACACACTTTTAGCATTTTGGAATGTTTGTGTACATTCAGAATTCAGAGAGCAGCAATGTATTATTTCTGCCCGAAATGAACAATCTAAGCATCTCCTGTTTTGTTTTGGGTTTTTTTTCTTTAACTTTCTGATAAACATTTCAACTTTGGTTAAGCTTCAAATGGAGAGCGTTAGCCAAAGATTTTTAAACACATGTATGTATTCTTCCATGTCTGTGTGTATCTATTTTGTTTTTCTAAACGTGTATTTTTAAGCAGAAAAACGTATTTCAACTTCAGCAGTATCAAAACTCTCAAATGCACAAATACAATTTTTACTAACCTTTGACATCTAAATGAAGCTCTTCAGTAAAGAAGGTTTTTGTGTCCTTACTTGGAACTTCTGAAGTTGGCCCAGAAAAGACAGGGTTTTCAGGCATAAGCCTGAACAAGTGATAAAGCAGTTTATTTAAACTTTTAGTTCTTCTAAGGTATTGTGAGTAGAGAACTCGCAGCTGGTAAGTGTTAAAAGAAAAAAAAAAAAACAAGAACAAAAACGAAACAAACACAAAATACAGATGAGACTTAACAAATACAGCGTTCTCTGTAAATAATACAAGTATGTTCCTGCAGGGAGGAAACGCAAGACTGTGATTCAGAACAAGTGTTTAGTTTGGAAGAGTGATTTAGTTCTCTGCAGCATTTTGAATGATTAGACGAGCATAAAATGTAGCAAGCTTGTTTGAAAATGCAGGAATGAATCATCTATTAATGAACCTGAATTCTTTATTACTGTAACATTACCATCCTTAACTATTGCAGTGCAGAAATCTAAGCCTATTGATGCTTTCAGAATTCCACCAATTCTGCAAAAACAAGTGGTAGAAAGATACATAATTGAAAGAATAAAATGGCTGGATGAAACGTCAAGATTCAAACCAAATAAGAAATTACTAAGAAATCCAGTTAAAAGGAAAAGACTCTGAACGTATACCTGAGAAGAAGCTGCTTTGAAGAAAGCTAATGTTAACTTCCAAGTGAGCAGATATCCTAGAACAAGGCAGAACTCGTCACTCAGGGGCTGAATAACTGCAAATTCCCCAACTGGAATGCATTCCAGGATGTTTTCTAGCAGGAGTTCTTGAGTGGCCAGGACAGACATAAGAGCTGCTGGAGGTGACCTATGGAAAAACGTTATCTGGCATTGTAAACGCAGATCTTGAGCAGAGCATTAACTGAATTTATATTCACAGTTTTCCTAGAAAAGTCATGTTGGTAAAGCCATGTAATGTAGAAGATAAAAGGGGCCTTTTATTACAGGAAAATTTACTTTCAGATTCACACATTAATGCTAGATTTTAAGATTTTAATTTTAATTTTTTTTTTTTTTGCCTGAAAGGACAGTTGGTGTTTTTACCTCTTGCAAGACAAATATAAACTGAATGCTGATCACATAACGTGAAAATGGTCTATGGCTAAGCTGATTTAACCTACACTTGGACAGCTGGTTTGCTTGCTTGCTAGGTCAAGTCACACCAACAAAGGAGGAGCTGAACAACGGATCTCCTGATCACTGAATGTCTTGGTTTGGTTTGGCTTTGCATTAAAAAGCTTTCTGCAGCTCCACAGTAAGGAAAGATATTAATTATTGGGCTGAAGTACAAAAAAAAATTAATGTTGTTGTTTTAAAATCAGTTACTGTACTCCCTCTTCAAACTGCTGACCCAAGCTATATAAAACATCCAGGCCAATTCTGGAGGTTCAAGAGACTGAAGTTACCTGTGCAGCCGGACACATTCTGAGCACAGCAGTCCAGTAAAAATCTTGTCAAGATTTTACAATATAAAGCATATATGTTGCACTTACTCTAGTAACTGTACCTAGAAAATTGCAAATGCTGTTTCTAGTTTTAGTACAAAGGCAGATTTAACCAATTATATTGAATATTTTCAATATTTATGTCCCTGTTGTCATAGCCATGGCATTTTTTTTTTTCTTTTAACATTTCCAGACAGATGACTACTCTGCTGCAAATCTCAGCTCTTACAACACATTCTAAAAATATGGAAAACAGTCATAAAAAACATGAAGAAAAAATACACACAACGCTGATTCCTCCTCTTCGTCACCATAAGATTTGAGATCTTCATCATCAAATTTAGGCAATTCAGGCATTAATCTACAGAAATATGGAAAAGAAGATTTAATTTTTAGTATATGTGATGCACAGTTTTTTGCTTATCAATGTCAGCATTAATGATAAGCAATAAAATAACAGCAATTATTCCTTTATAACCACACAGACTCTTTAAAAGACATGTCACCATTGCAAAGATGGGCCTGAATGACAGCCAACGAGCATGTAGACTTCCTCAGTTCTTTTCCAGACCTTTTACACTTCCCGAGTCATGCTAAAATAAACTGCTCTATCAGAATAAAGCTATTGAAACTTTATGCCTCAGTATAAGTGAAAGATAATGGTAGCATCATATGCTTAAGCTGGGTGGCTCACAATCTGCATTTTGAGCAAATGCACGCGCTGTTTTTCAAATTCTGTATTCTCGCTTTTGGTATTAGAGATATACAAAAAGGTTGACAAGAATATTACACATTTTTATTCACTTTCTTCATTTCTTATCTAAATTAGTGAAAATAAAAAGGTCATACTATTTAATGATACTGTTAGACCCAGATCAAACCTGGAATATTTCAGTTTACATTTTAGGATTCTATGAGTGTTAAAACAGGGGCCAAAAATAAATAGCTTTATAGTTATGATACTGCTATCTATGAAATTATGTTACAAAAAATAAAATTGTATCTTCATGTACTGCAGTAAAATTTCTCAGTATATATTTAGTCTTTTACAATTAAATTTAGCATTCATAGCTTCATATAATGTCCTCCAGAACACAAATTGCCCAGTTAAGGATTCACTCCCATAATGGAACACAACTGCTAAACATCCATCTATAACTGCATGTTCTACAGCACATTTGGTTAAAGAAAAAAAAAAAAAAAAGCAGGGGGGGCGTGTGGGAGGTGAGGGAAGTGAGAAATCTGTTTGATTCTTACTTGTACAACATATGGTAGACAGAAATTTGCACAGGTCTAGCCCGGAAAAGCAACAATGGAGATAACGTATTTAGTAGAGTCTGGAGTTTATCTGGAAGATTTGTTTTCTGGCCTGCAACAAACTTTGCTGGCAATTTATGGTTTAACAACTGGTCCTTCGAGATGTAAGTTAGAGCTTCACCCAAAGATGTTAATACAGAGTTCTGAAAAGAGCCTTCAGATGCGTTTTTGGTTTCTCCTATTTAAAACAGAGAAAGACAAGCTGTGATACAGAACGTATGGTTGGTATCAGAAACAAGCATTACTAGAAACAACTCAAACTGCACTTATCAGAACACATCTAATCTTAGGAATCACAATGTTAAGCGCAATTACTTTACTAATTAACAAGGAAGTGTTCAAAAAAGTGAGTTTTTATAAACTATGTTGACACAGTATTCCTATAAATTAAAAAATACGGCTCGTCAAGTTCTGCTTCAGGTACCAGTACTACCCTTCTTGCCATGTACTTGCCTGTGACTTTCACCAACAAAGGTAACAGCAAATCGTGAATTCCCTCAGAAAAGAATTCTTTCCATTCACTGATCAAGTTCACAGGAAGGTTTTCAGTAGTTTCAGGAGCCGCAGCTTCAAAGTAAGCGCTAAGGGCAGATGCCAAGTCACAACTGACACAAGCAAAAATCTGCACAAGTGGGACATGATAAAGCGAACGGTTTTCACTCGTTGTCTAGAAGGAAAAAATAAGAGGAAGATTTCTTAACCATCAACATGCTTTAAAATATGTTTCACAGTCACTGTCTATACCAGAAATCTTAATTTCGAAGAAGACTCAATTGCAAAGATCATTTTAAAACGATGGAGGGGTGGCGGTGGGGAGTTCCAAAAAGTAACCTGTACTTTAGTACGACTTATGGAAATGAATGTCCAAGTTTCACCAACATTTAGAATCCTGGATTGCTTCCCTTATATGACCTTCTTTATAATGACAGAAAGAAGCTGCCACCAAGTTGATTCAAATAGAAACATATGCAGCTGTAGCTTACCTGTAGCACTTGCGCAGCCAAGTGAGCCAAAACCAGTATGTGAAGTGCTCTCACCTTTCTCTCCCACACATAAGCGCCGTACCAGTATCATACTTGTATTCCCAAATTGCAAAAGCCAATTGACAATACACTATTTAAATGGGAAATTATTGAAGAGGCTATCAGGAGAGTATTTCCTCTCCCCCAACATAGCTCCTTCTTCTCATTTTTATTCTTACTAGTTTCCCCCCAAAAGGAGGATCATTAAATATTAAAAATATTGCCAAGCACTTAATCTATACAACAAGTTTTTCATACAAGTTTGTTGTTTGGTGTTTTGTTTTTTTTTTTAAATAAAAATACATATATATACAGTTTTGAGGCACATACAGCATAGGTAAGAAGATTAACCCTGAGACCAAGGCAGCCACATAGATGTTTCTGGCCTGCCCTTAGAAGTGTGCAGTGACAGAGGGCACTATAATTAAAAAAACAAGCTACAGGGCGAGAGATTCTGTATCTTTATTTGATTAATAAAGAAATAGTCAGATGTTCACTCTGATCTGTTTTCTAACAGTGTTAGAATATAATTTTGATGTTTTAGGTGATCAGTTAGATACCGAAATGCTGATACTACTTTTCATTCCATTAATTTTTACATGTCGTGTTAGACTTTGGTCTTAAAGGGATATTATTTTTCAACATAGATACCTACAGCAGACATATTGCAAAATTATTCTCCAATTACCAATGCCATTACTAAACATATCACTTCAAGAGTGAGGTAATTTCATCTCCATATACAAAAAGGAACAGGAGATATAGTATTGCCTGTGCTTTTAAGACAACATGACCTTTGTCAAAGCTCAATGAAAAAAGGATTTTGTGCAATTCTTTTTAATATTGTGTCAAATATTTGCTTGGTTGAGATGACTATGTCACTGCCATACGCAGGGAATAATCTAAAAAAGTAAGTACATCAAAAGTGAAGATGCAACATTAGCACTCATGTGGTAGGTAAAGTTTATGTTCTTAGTTCCGTATTTTGGTTGAAATGCCTTTTAAATTATCTTCGAAATGCTGAGTACCCAGCTATTAATATTGGTCATTACTCTAAAGTACTAGAAAGTTAACACACACATTAGATGAAACAAAGTTAAAATTGTTAAGACCATTGTGTTCTAAAATCTAAGAACGAACCATGAGGGGCACTCCGATTTCCATTCCTCTCGGCAATCCTCACGCACCTTTGTTCAATTTTAATCGCTATGTGGCACCGCTTCTACAATGTTCTACTGTATCATCCTGATACCCAACTTCCCGCTTTGTAAACAGACAGGTGAACTTTTAACATATAGCTCTGAAAGTTTTAGAATGAAATGTCAATCAGACAGCCCAGTAAGATTATAAATATTTAGTTATTTTGTAGCCTATTTTTTACACCCCCCCCCACCTCCCCTGCATCAGTCCGGTAGGATTAGAGGGCATCAGGAGGATCCATCCTATCAAAAGCTGCAATGCAACACTTTGTGACAGTCTCCTCCGTCTCACCTCTAACCAAGCCAGCATGGAGCACATGATAAAGTCCCATTCCTTATCGGCCAAGGGAGCTGTGGAATACTTCAGTGACAAGGGAAGGTAACGCATCATCTCTATGTTGAAACCAAGCAACTGAGCACTTCTTTCTTTCAGATCGCTGTAATAAAAACACAACTAAAGCTTACATATCGTCACATTGTAGACACAAGTATTTTTATTCTTGCCTTCACTCCTTCTCTTGGGACAAATCAGTCTTGTACCAGGCTCTGCACCATGCGCTTTTGATGCTCTGTCCTTCCAAGCCAGAACACTACATTAGCTGCCAAGTCTACGTCAGTCAGTCAGCAGGTACAACACCGACTATCAGAGCTACTTGCTCCTTCACCTGTTAGACAGATTCCTAAAACTGTACCATCTACATACTCGCTCAAGTAATATACTTACATAAACTATGAAACTTAGCATTTTTAACTAAATCAATGGAAGAAAAATAATCATTTAAGTTACTAATTTTAAAAATAAAATATAAGCCCTCAAGTGTCCAAATAGCGTACATTATGTTGAGATTTTGTTGCCTGCATTTTTCTCACTATACTCAGGGCAAACGAACCTCAGTGTATTTTCACTCCTTGCTGGAAGCTTTCCAAGTTACATTTTCAGGTCCAGAATTTAAAACAACAGACACCTAAGTGTGGTATCCAAGTTTTCTTTCTGCTACCTAAATAAACAATCAGCATTTGGAACTGAATATCCAGCAAAATCTACAAAAGTTGGTCAATTCTGAATGCTTTTGAAAGCAGCTGACATCCAGGTGCATAAAAAAAAAGCTCCTAGTTTCCCAGCCTTCAGCCCCTCGGGTAATTTTCTTCAGCATGAGTTATTAGATACTTAAAGACAGGTACATTAAACTGAGGGATGAGGTTCTACAAAGGCTTCAAAATGTAATATTAGAGCGGTGGATGGCAGTTGTAACTTACAAATTGATTCTGTTGATTTTGTTCGAGTTATTAACCACTTTGTATTTTTAAACTCTTGTTTTAGAAATTTAAAAGGTAAAATTATCTCAAAGTTGTACTTACCAGCTAAAGAGAAAGCTGTCTTCATTATCGTTTTTCCAAGATATTATGATTTTTAGTATTCCAGGTAGCAGATGATCACAATCAATACTTTTATCCTTCAAGCAGGAGTTCAAAATGGAAAGACACCCAAATGCTCCTATAACATAATAAAAATATCATACTCAATGAGTCTTAATTATCACAACAAAACAAACATTAGCATGTGTGTCAACTGACTGAATCATTTTATTTGAACTTAACATCAATATCTAAGACAGTTTGAATAATACCTCAGCTTTCTCTTTGAACATTTAATCCAGAGATGCCATTGTTAAATCAAAAATACTATTATCCAACCCAAACTTAAAAACAATCAAACAAAAAAAACTCAAATCAACCAAAAACTCCTATAAGATTAATTATTGGTTTGCACAATTAACAAAAAGGAAAAATACCTGCTAAGATTTAAATCCATCTGTGCTACTAAAAACGTAGTATGCTAAGCAATAATTTGGACAGATAATTAAGTAAATGTAACCGCGAGCTGTGAAATCCAGTATTATTGTAAGAGTGTTATTTTTTACTTTCAGAGTGAAGTACTGATGTTGCATTAGTACTATTTTCCATTTTTAAGGAAAACTGCATGTATCTGCCTTTCTTGGAGAACATTTCTTATACGCATGACAACAGAGAACTGAGTTAAAGTCCCATATAAGCATAGCAAAAAAAACCAAACAAATAACCCACTTCACTTAAGCAGCAGCACAATTATTTACCAGAACTTTACCAGCACTTTCCTGATCTGAAAAAAACCTAAAACTTGAATGGTAAACCTACAACCTACGCCACACTTAATGGGAAAATTTGGGTATATATTGTCTGCTTGGGAATGCCTAGGAAAACGAGAAGCAGCAAAAAGGAAAATGCAGAACAGCGTTACAAACAAGAGCACTCCACAGCAGGGGAGGAGTGAGGATCCTTTTTCCCATTTTCTGTTTGAAGTTTCAGAGATACATTGGTTGGTTCAACAGTTCACTCAGAAAGCCAGGAAGGCTTAAATAATTAGGGAAACTAGCACAGTAGAAAGATTCAAGATTCCTCTCAATTGCTGCATGACAGTGCGTAACACTGAAAATTTTCACACTTAAAGGACATCCACTTGAAGAACTCATCTGAAAATCTGAGGACACTGCCAAGGGACAGCTGTCCACTGTTTACAGTCACCAAAGATAGTTTTTTCAATTTAAGCAAGCACAGTCCTGTTAAAAAATACAAAATCATCTTTCAAGTTTTTACACAGGCTGATCACTAATACTATGTGCAAGAAAGCACAAAATCAGTACTGAGGAAAAAGAGAAAGTTCTTTTAAATGACACCTAATTCAAACATGTAGAAGGACCATGTGCGACCATTTCCAAAGAATTTTCTTGCAAAGCAACAATTTTGTGAGAATAAAAAAGGTTTCCTAAAGGATATTCAAAGCAGTATTATAAACGCATCTCATTCCCCTCTAAGCAGTTTTTCAAAAGCTGCTGAAAGTGTACGTAGAGCAGTTCTGACTCAGCACACTATATCCCATGCACTGGAAGAACTACTCAAAAATTATACACAAACTGCAAAAGAGTTTTTGCCAAAGCATCTAAAGACAATCATGATGCTACCAGTTGACAATAGTGATGTTGTTGCATGCTGCATAAAACCTAAATGATCAGTTGAAAACTTTGGTATTTATAGATGCGTTGAAATCAGATAGACCAAACAAGAAGTAAGGCAATATCAAAATTCTTTTAACAGTTTCAGCCTAAAGCCTTCAGTTCTACTTTTGTACCAGGCAGTATAGCTTGTACTTCCTTAATCAAGCAGAAAACTACTATGCCAAACTGTCTAGAAGAAATACACAAGCTGAGAAGATATTGCTTTCTAGGAAAAGAAATGTATTATTGTAGTTAACGTGCTTTATCTAAAAGCAAACATCACTGCAAAATAACTTTCTTAAAACTTAATGAAGTGGACTGAGGTAAGAACATACTCACCATCAGTGCTGGAAAGCTCTGTCTGTGTGCATGTCATAAGTTTGGCCACACAGAGGAAGACAAGTTCTTTCTTTTCTTCCTCAATTAAAAAAGGAGCTAGACACTGAAGCGTATGCAACCTGCCCTCTGTTAATGGCAGAAACCTATTCATACAAGCAAAACATCAAGAATGACACAAAAACTTAAGTAGTAAAATGTCAATCTGTTCATAATGATCTAATATCTTACGATGTAACTAATGCCACACACTAAACCAAGTCTCACTTTTACATACCATACACACATATATTACCAGATTTTCACTCTTCGGTTGTCATTCATCAGAATCAGCACCATTTAACGTTATCAACATTTGCAACAAACTAAAAGTTTACAGGCAGCAATATTACGATACCCTTCTGCTGTCTTGAAAAGTTGCTTCCTCTCCCAGGATACAGTGTTTTCCGCACGAATCACTTTAGCCATGGTTAAGGACCAGAGTCTTCCATGTTCCTCTGATCTTCAAAGAAGAGGAAAGACCCTGGTTAATACGTACAGGCCCACAGTTCACAACAAAAGCATTTGGACGAAGTTTGAATCGATACACGAAAGGAAATGCGGTGGCACTTTATACAATGCAAAATATGAAGACAGAGTTACAGGTTTTTTCACTTGTTCTTACATACCTGTCAAATATTGTTTGCTGAAGGCTAGCTGTATTACCAAGTGTACTGAACTTCTCATATGTGATGTGCATTTCTTCTAACATATGAAGATATTCCAGAAGCAGGTAAGGAGGATTCTCCAATTCTTCAATCCATTGTAATGAGTACAACAGTTCTGCAACTAATAAAACAACAAAAGTTGTTGTTTACAAACAACTGCTGGATATATTCAGTGCCTGAGCAAGAAGTTTCAGGTCAAGGTTTTGTTGGGTTCTGTTGGTTTTTTTAAATATGTTTTTAATGCATTAAGAAGGTGATATTTACACGCAATCTTAGGTGCTTCAAACGGTGAACTGGCTATTTGCCATTGCATCACAAAATACAAGAGAAGAAAAATCTACAATATAATCTATTCTAGATGTTCAGAAATTTTAAAGCAAATCAAGCATGACAAGAAGTCTAACTCCTCTCTATTATCCTTTTTTTTTTTTAAATATATGTAATTCTTGCAGACAAGGCAATCAAGATCTAAGTCCAGGAAAAAACAAAAACAAATTTGATGCTAATAGTTAGCTTGCGGTTTCTTTATTAGCTTACAAAGACCTACACTGAACAATTACACTTCTCATCATGGTGAGACTTTTGGAGACAGAATTGTTAATTTCATAATGCTGGCTCTAATTTCAGCATTCTATAAATAAAAAGAAACAAGATTCCACATGGTGGAATTGAGAAAAATTGCTGCCTCAAAATATCTTTTCATTATGGCTAAACACTCCGAGCATTTATTTGATCGCACAGATACAGTTCCTATTGCCCACTCAGGCCAAGGCACCATGGGTTTTGACAATGAACAACTTTGAAGTTCATTGCAAATTCAAAATTCCCCAAATTCAAAATTCTGTTGAGATAGCAGGTATATTATCACAAAAGGTCCTAGAAATAGAAACACTATATTTGCGCATACTTTTAAAGGAGAACTGAAGGAAAAAAAAAAAACACACAAAACAACAACAAAAGGTAAAAGGATGATTTCTCATACCTATATGCCAAACTTTAACCATTCATTTCTAACTATTAATTCCGGTTAATTTAGAACTAGTATAAAATGAAATTCCTTTAAGTTTTACCATTGTAACTTACTTATATTGTCAATTTTCTTTCTTTCAGCATCATCATTTCCATGGACTAAACCATTTTCCAATACAAGTAGCACCATTTTACTTAATAAGGCTGAAGTACACAGGTGGCCTGGAAGTTTAGTAGTGCCACACAGCTTCACGCATGATCCCAAAGGTTCACAATTCATACTAAGCCTTCCTTCCAAAAGAGGTTTGTGCATCCACTGTAATATGTGCATAAAAAGAGTATGAACAAATAATTGACATTTTAATGACGCATAGAAGAGCTATGATCTGTTTAACCTCAAAAATTCAGAATTATTAAAAATAACCATGAAAGACACAAATTAACACCAAAAGCACAACGGTGAGGATGACCCACTCCAGCATATTAAAAAAAACTAAATGCACAGCAGTAACTTGAAACTGCATTGCTGTCTCAGAAATAAATCTGTATCTGTAGAACTTCATATATTTTACAAGAAATACTAAAGTTACTGAAGATTGGTGGTTGGACAGGAAATTTATGTCCTTCCCCACTCTCCACTCTATGTATGTCAGCATTTTGTTGACAGTCAGCGTATCATGTTCCTCTGCATATATCGGTGTCTTCACAAAATGAGTCTTACAGAAGAACTAACTTAAAGATAAGAACAT